CCTGTGACTGGGCTGTGTCAGTGTGCTGGACTCCACAGGGACTAGAAGAGTCTAGAGCCCTGTGACTGGGCTATGTGTCAGTGTACTCGAATTAGCTGTAATAGCTAATGGTCTCTGTCATGGATTGGAAATCTGGGATGTTTCAGAACCCCCAGTGTTGGCTCGGGCTGGTCCGAAGTCCAGATGGCTACATCACCTGCTCTTCTATTTACTGCTGGAGGGCTCCAGGAACACAGTAAACACTGAGGCTTAGACAAACTGACCCTTGAACCCCTGTGAATCGCTGTCCCAGCAGATGAATCGCTCCGCACAGGCCTGGAGACACTGCGCTCTAGTGCTCTAGTGCAGAATTCACAGGTCTGTGTCTCTGTAGGCAAGTCTCCTTTAAACCATCCTAAACCAGGCTCCTGGGGAGCCCCACTCCAGCCAGGTCAGAGGTCAATTCCTACCACTTGCGGTCAGTCAGACAGGCCACGTCTCACAGGTGCTTAGTGATTTTTTCTGAAACAAAACAGCCAGAGACACTCTGGCTCAAAAGATCCAACGTTCCTTCATTAAACAAATCACTTGCTTAACTGATCAATAAGCTGCAAGTGCCTCTACTAACTGGACTGGGGACCCCTGTGCTTACTGGAATGGGGCTCTCCAGGACCAGGGTTTGGGGACCCCTGTACTAACTGGACTGGGGCTCTCCGGGATCAGGGACCCCTGTACTAACTGGACAGGGGCTCTCTGGGACCAGGGACCCCAGATCTCAATAACGAACAGCAGGTGCTTGCAGCTCCAGAGAGCAAGGGTCCGAAGGGGGGCTCACACGCGCGGCGCTGTGTGGGGAGACAACGTGTCCCAGCGGACTTGGGACTGTCCTGAGTCAACACAGGGGTCAAGAGTTAAGCTGAGCTGCACGTCAGCAAGCGCTTATCACAAGTGGCCGCGCACAGGCACGAGTACATATAGGAGAGAGAGTCTGCTCCGCGCCAGCACACACAGGTGTATATAGGAGAGAGAGTCTGCTCTGCACCAGCACACACAGGTATATATAGGAGAGAGAGTCTGCTCCGCGCCAGCACACACAGGTATATATAGGAGAGAGGGTCTGCTCTGCACCAGCACACACAGGTATATATAGGAGAGAGAGTCTGCTCCGCGCCAGCACACACAGGTGTATATAGGAGAGAGTGTCTGCTCCGCGCCAGCAGTCCCAGTGAGAAATTGCGCGAGGAAGGAAGTCCTGATGCTCCGCTCTCCCGCAGGGCTCCTCCTGCTGGTGGGAAGGAGTCACTGCGCCCAGCGCCACCCCACAGGCCCCTGGGCTGCAGGTCTCCCAGGATGCACTGCAGAGGGACCCCCCCCTGGTGGGGAAGGAGACTCGCTCACTGACGCGCCTCGCGGCCCAGAGGCGTGGAATCCAGCGTGAAACAGGGGTTCGAGATCAGGGGGTGTGAGGGAGAAGGAAACTGGAAGGGGGACTTTGGCCCTGCCTCGTGGCTACAGGGTCCCGGGTTCGAATCCAGACCGGCACAGCTGAAACTTGGGAGCCTGCATGTTCCCCCTGCACTTCAGGCAGGGGTACGGGGGGGGTGCGGGCTATGTGTGACTGTGTCTGCTGGGTCAGGCACAAGCACAGCAGGAAGGCAGAACTAGAGCAAGCTGGTCAGTCAGTCCCGGTCTTGTTCAACCGAAAGAGCCTCTTCATAAGACCAGGGAGTGAAGACACAGGACCCTGGAGTGGGCCGAGGATGCACGGCGACGGCCTCGTTTCTCTCTCTGTGAAATACCTTCTCGCTGTGAGCCGTGAGAGGACTCCACCTAGCGGACAGAAGGTGGAACCGCTGCTGCTGCTGCTGCGCTGCGCTTTGTTAAGGGCGCCTGTCTCTCTCTCTCTCCCCAGATTCCGACCGACACCATGAACAGGCTTCTCGCCCTGGCGGTCCTCCTGGTCCTCTGCTGCTGTGGTAAGCGCTCCGAGACCCCGAGCCACTGTCCAAACACGCCTTACCCAGCCCCGTCCGGGTGTCAGCAGAGCCTGACCCGCCGGCGAGAGCGTTTGGACCCCTGCCGCTGGCGGTTCCGGACGTATCGGTCCGGCACGTCTTGGCCCAGCAGGAACGCGAGACGCGCATCACGGTGCTGCTGTTGAAAAAACTCCGCCTGCAGGCAGATTCGAGCGTACTGTGACCACGCAGCGAGGGCTCCCTGTGCACCCGTGACATTCACACGCGAGGCATTTTCTCGGGAGTACCGATCGGCTTTGCCGGGGACGTTGGCGCCGTCTTGTGGCGGCAGGCGGAACTACAGCGGCGCTGCGCGCCCCGTGCGTGTGTCTGAGACTCCCGGCCCCCCGTTAATCACCGTCCTGCTGCTCCCCCAGGCGCCGACAGTCTCCCCACAGAAGCCCCCCAGGAGGCCACGGACCCCCTGAAGACGGTCAGCGACACCCTGTGGTCTTACTATGACCACACCATGAAGACGGCCTCGGGCTGGGTGGACCAGGCCAAGAGCTGGAAACTGGACGACAAGGCCAGGTGTGTAGAGCCCCTCTCGCACTGACACCCCCACGCTCTGACGGACACCCCCACGCTCTGACTGACACTGAC